GCTCACACTCATGTTGCAATATGCAAGGTGAGGTTCAAAACTGTCAAGCTCTGTAATAGAACCATTACTGTATTTTTGGAGAACATACTCCTTTTGATTTACTGTTCCTTAGAAGACAGGAAATGGAGCTACTTGATTTCATATTTTAAACAAAGCCGTCCAGAGGTTTAATGAAAAAAATTTCCCCTGGCTTTCGAATTAAAGGGCTATGGTGAAAGATTTAGCTTAGCTATTTTGACTTAGAAAAACAACACACTAGAAGCATTAAAATATTTTGTAAAAATACTTTTTACTACTAGATTTTTTCAGAGAAGAAAATAAGCTTCTCTGGGTTTTTTTGGTCTTGGTGGGTAGGGCTGTGAAATGAAAGGATGTTTCCAAGGCTTGGGGTTGTTGGGTTTTTTTCCTCCTGTAGAATTTATTTTCCTTTTATATTAAAAGCTTTGAAACAATTGCAATGCAAAAGACAAATCCTGTGCTTCTGAGCAAGCTGGTGGTGTGAGTTAGAACCCACTCTTTTGCCATTAATAAAATATGAGAAATGTTAAGCAGAAAAACAAGGGGCCTGATTCTGCTCCATCCAGTAGCAGCTTGAGTAAAGGGCTGTGCTCTCAGGAGACAAATGTCAGTGGAAGGACAGAAGTGGGAGATCAGTATCAGGAGAAAATTAAAGTTTAAATAGGAAAATCCTGCGTGTGGAGCAGAATGAGCTGGGAGTGTTTGGGGCAGTGTGAAGCTAAACACACTGCAACTGCAAAACAAAGCACTCTGGACTGGATGTTCAAGCCAAGGTTTCTGCTTCTTCCATTTGGTTTGGGGTCGGTTTTTATTTGTAGTGCAGGGGATCTGGAACAGTGCTTGGGCATCGTACAAAGGAGGCTGATAGTCTTAATTTCCACCCAGTTTCATCTTCAGTAAATAAGGGCAGAGTTAAATCTTCTGCTAGCTTGAAAGCACCATGCAATAGGATGAAATGTTGACACAATTTTAAGTGAATGGGATTTTTTCAGTGTTTTTTTATGAGGTTTCACCAGGATTTCACTATTAATTGCTTGGATAAAATAATACCTAATTGGCCTCTTTCCTGAGTGGTTTCTAAATGAATTGCTCCTTTTAGGTGGAACCTGTTCCCCCATCAAAGCAGTAGCAGGTCTGGAGGACAGAAGAAAGGCTGGGCTTCACACCTCAGGGGCTGGTTTGGGGCTTTCAGGCAGATTTCAGCAGTTTGTCAGTAAAGGCATGGGGCAAAGTCTGCCTTCTTTCAACCCTTACCTAATCCTCCAAATCAGCAAGAGCTTTCTTGACCACCTTGGTCCTGTGGTGACATTCTGGTGATGGGTTTGGGGGAGTTTTGAGAGCAGGACACTTCTCTGAGCTTTATTTGTAAACTTCTTTCTGGCTGACGATGGGGAATTTGATACGTTATCAGCTGAGATACTAGGATTGAAAAGGGGAGAGCGTGGCAGCCAGAAAGAGATTACAATTTATTAAATAGCAGAGATATGGTTAGCTGCTATCAGTGTAAGTATAACGCCATTAGCTCGGGTGCTGTTAGTAATGATACTCATAGGGTAAAAGCACCCAAAGGTTCTTGGGCAGCAACCAGCCCATCTGCCATTCTATGCACTTCACAGAAGAGTTTTCCAAAGTGTAAAAATACTCAGGACTTAATTGAGCCATTAGAAAATGATGTTGCTTTGATGTGTCTGCTGCTTGTACATTGGAGAGGGTCAGAGCCAGGGGTAGGAGAGGACCTGCCTGTTCAAGCAAGGTCCCATTTCCTACTCCAGTGTCCTGAGTAACTTAGGTTGCACATCTGCATGTTCAGCTGTACACAAAACTGGTTTTATTGAAGTGTTTATTGAAATAAGGAGGAGTTTGTGGACTCGGGGGCAGCCCAGAGCAGATGCCAGCACCTGAAGCTCCTCTGCTTCCACCACTCATTGTGGGCAGGGTAATCACCCACAGGGTGCAGGGGTGGCAGCTGGTGAGTCAGAGGTGAATGCTGGGACATGGATCGTATTGCCAGATGTGGGCTCCTAACATGGAGAAGGAGTGAAAAGGGAGGAAAGATAAACCTAGAGCTTCACCAGCCTTGCAGTTTTTTACAAGAAAACTTTCAGTGCAGTTAATCCCTCTAACCTGCACTTACATTAACACTTGCAACCTCACACGTTGCTGCTAAGAAGTTTTGGCAGCTCTTGGCCCTGATTGCAGAGGTAACACTGCACTTGTCTCCTTTGCTCTCACTCAAGTATCTCAGGAGCCAGAGCCCAGTGTTCTATGAAGTTTCTCTCTGCACACATATGCAGGCACCTTGGCAGAGCTTCAAAAGCCATTTACCTTATTATTCATATGTCTGCTTATAGGAGCAGAAATGCTCCCATTCCTCACTTTCGGAATAAGGACAGACACTAGTAAAGGAAAGATTTCTCCTCAGCATTTCTGGCACAGCCCTGACATTCACCACCTCCCTGCTGCCTCCCTGGGGTTTGGGGATGCAGATTTAAAAGCCCCCCCCAGTAGCTCTCTGAGTTTGTGACCAGCCTTATTAAAACCAATTGAAATCAGTGGGGTCTTGGAGTATAGACAGAGTGAGGGTCTCAGGGCTGTGTGAAGCCACAGAATTACTGGGAAAAAGAAGCTTCAAAAAAAGACCAAATTTTGCACTTCCTCCTCCAGTTAGGATAGCTGACAATATGGAAATGTTGCAGAGACTTAAACGTCATTGAAATTACTTTGCCTCCTCACTGCATTTTCTCAAACAAGCTTCAAGAACCCTTGCTTTCAAACAAATTAGTAGACTGGAGTAACCTTGTAAATATAAAGACCCATTAAAAGTTGAAATATTTGGTCATTCCTCCTCTCGGTTTAAACTGGGTTTCATCCAGAGTTCAAGTGCATGTATCACAGAAGAGCCACAGTCCCATTTTGTAGAGGTCCATTTTCGCGTTGATGGTTTTCTAGTGCCAGGAATCTACTCTGCAGCCAGGCAAAGAGATAAATCAAAGTTGTGCGCGCCGATGAAATTCAGGAGCCAGAAGTCACCATTGCAGCCCATATAAATCCCTGAATGCCAGCCCTGGTGCTTTTGTCCATGCCATTAGAGTTCAAAATTATCTGCCCCTCTTTGCTGATGTATGGATTAACTGGCTGCCCGAGTGTTTACTAACGGTTATCACCCGGTACTTTGGACGTTATCAGAGGAAGGGACGCCTGCCGCGGGGCTTGGTCTCTCACCCTTTCTATTACCACCTGTCAGTGGCAGGGGGTGTGCTGTGAAGCTGTACAGTCACAGACTACAAGTGTAGATAGTTTCTGACGGCTGATCAAAGGGGAAAACCAAAGGCCTGATAACAAGGACGTGTTTCATGTACTTTTAACTTTGAGAAACATTGGCATTTGCATTTTTTCCCCTCGGTAGGCTGGCAGAAACCAGGCACAATAAATGCTGCATATTCAGTTACCTAATAGCGGAGTAAATGGTATGTGCTTGAAGCAACAAAGCATAACTGTAATCTTGTTCCAAGTGGGAATGATTTAAGTAAGCCTTCGCAGAAGACTTGCTGTATAATAAAGTAGAATAATTTTAATTTGTACTTTGAAGTGATCTTGAATTCAGAATCTAATCTTTGTGTTCGGGAGAACATCATACCCTGTTGTCAATGAGGTAATAACTGCAAGTTGAGGAATTATTTTCAGTATCTTTTGTAGGTACGTGTGCTCCGTCACAATAGACAGTGTCTTCAGTGAGGCACTGCTGATGAAAGGGTCTCTGTTAGCTCACGTTTGACCTAAAATTTCACACTGCCAGAACAGAGAGTACCATAGATATCCCAGACCAAACGAAGGGCTCACATTTTTTTTCCTTCAGCA